TGTTCAATAGGTGTGTTAGCAGGTTTAACACCCAACTTCCCTATTTCTTCCAACAAATCAAGCGCATACTTTCTTTGGGAAACAAAAATCCCATGTTTAGACTGAGCTACCTCAATTTTCAAGAAACATCGTAGCTCCCCTAGGTATTTGACTTCAAACTCTTGGTGAAAGAGTTGTTTAAGAGACTCAATCTCATGGGTATCACTCCCTGTCACTACAATATCATCCACATATACAGCAAGCAATGTTAAGGAAGAATCCACTTTTTAATAGAGTGTGATTTAACTGGGCCTGCACATAGCCAAAATTTTCAAGAGCTTGTCTGAATCTATTAAACCAGGTTCTATGAGACTATTTCAGTCCATATACCTTATTCATCTGGCAAGCCTTCTTTATTGTTTCTGCACTATAAAATCCAGGAGGCAACTGCATGTAAACTTCTTCTTGCAAGCCTCCATTGAGACAGGCATTTTTAACATCCATCTGAAACAAAGGCCATGAGTACTGGCTACAAGAGATAATAAAACTCTGATAGTGTTCATCTTTGCTACTGGTGCAAAAGTCTCCAAGTAGTCTATGCCATATGTCTGAGTAATTCCCTTTGCAACTAATCTAGCCTTATACCTTTCAATGGAACCATCAACATTATTCTTCACAGTAAACACCCATCTACATCCAATCGGTTTCTTCCCTTTAGGTTGGTCAACTAGCTCCCATGTATTGTTCTTCAGAAGGGCATCCATTTCTACCTTCATTGCATCTTTCCACTCAAGTACTGACAAGGCTTCCTGCACTGTTCTGGGAATGGGAATAGCAGCAATGTATGTCAAAAAGGACTTGTAAGATGGAGACAAATGATCATAAGACAAAAACTAGGAAATACAGTGAGCTGTAGATGAGGTACAACATCGTTTGCCTTTACGGACTGCAATGGGAAGGTTAAGGTCATCCAATGGAGGTGAAGGCTCAACAATAGAAGGTATCTCATCTGTAATGGAAGATGAAGGAAGTGTAGTACTTGGATTTGGATCCGCAGAAGGAATTGGGGATGGCCTGGACTGCTGATGACTGAAATCAACCTGCCTCCACCGTCTGTGATAAACTCTCAAATATCGGCACCTCTGACAACCCTCACTACACTCTTCTTTCAGCCACACCTTCCAGATTAATAAAAAAGATTTCTTTTTAGGTTCGATCTCAAGAACAAATATCGACTTACTCAAAAAGGTCTAGCCGCCACCTTCAAACTAAGGTCTGAACCCTAAAACTGTGATTTCTTCCCTTCGTCTGATTCTTCCTGATCGCTGAACACTCTCCAAGGCCCTACAAATCCTTGGGCATCAATTGCACACTGCCAGCAACCTCCAAGAATCAGTCAATGAACTTATCTCTGCTGAAACTTCCAACCCTAGGAAGTTCTCATGTAGGCCTGATTAGACTAGCGTGAGAATTCCTAGGTTGGCTTTGATGCCAAGTAGTCGAATAGGACTGCAATCAGTCCTAGGTATAATGTGTAATAAACAAAGAAAAACAGATTGACAAAGAGAGAAGAAGAGGGAGAGAAGAAGAGGGAGAGAAGAAGAGAAGGAGAACACAAAGAGAAGAATTCAGAAAGAGTGTGTTGACTGGAATTGTCGCCCCACTCACCTATTTATATTAATAATCAAATAAAAGGTAAAAGGGCTGAATTACCCCTACTGCTTACATGGCAAAGAAATAATAACTACCAACTGAATAACTGCTAACTGAAACTAACTACCATCATAAATAAACAAACAACAGTGGGGACCACATAAATAACATAGTGGGGACCACATTAATGTTCTCTACACCACCTATACCTAAACAACGGCAAAAGCCAATCCCACAACTCTGCAGTAAAGGAGCAAGAGATTAGCATGTTGTAATAGTCCTCACCATGAAATTTGTAGAGAATACACTAGTTAGGTGAGTAACATAGGTGGGATCTTCTCTTCTGTAGGTTATCCAAGGTGTTTATTTTCCCATAAAACGCTTCCCAACGGAAAGCCATAATCTCTGGGAGAATAGGCCTACACCAAACCTCCTTAAAAGGGAAAACTTGCTGAGATGAAGAATGACAAAGGGACTTGAAGAAAGAGGCACAAGAGAAAGTTTCGTTGGGATGAGGAGACCAGGCCCGTTTATCTAATTCAGAGGGGTCTAAGCAAACCTTATTGAGGAGGCAAAGCAAGTTAGACAAGCAGTTGATTTCCTCATCCCTTAACCCCTTGCAGAACCCAAGAACCCAATATGGAGCCAAGTGATTTATAGAAGATCCAAAAAACTTTGAAATCACTTCTTTCTTATATAAAGAGACAGAAAATAAGGAGGGGAAGAGGTTCTTTAAGGGGCCCAATCCAGACATCCTCCCAGAGCTGAACTGAGTTTCCAGAGCAAACATCATATTTGACTATCCTGAGGAACTGTGGAAGTATATTGTGAATTGCTTTCATGGTGTTACCAAAATTTCCCTCTGAGATCCACTAGCATCCCATCCGTTCTCTAGATAACCATGAATACTTCTTACCACTTCATGCCAAAAGTCTGTCTTGCTCTTGTGGCTAACGCCATAGCCACTTTCCCAACAGAGCCAAATTCTTTTTGATCACATTACCTAATCCCAAGCCCTACTCCTCTTTACTCTTGCGCATAATCTCCCACTTGATCAAATGATCCTTTTTACTTTCCTTGGTTTCCAAAGAAAATCTCTCTTCAATTTCTCCATCTTCTTTGCTTCCCTAGGTGGTATCCTAAAAACAGACAGGAAAATAGGTGGGCAGGTTCAAAAGTGTGGCTCTTATCAAAGTGATCCTACCACCCAGGGAGATGTAGTTCTTCTTCCACGAGGCTAATCTCTTTTCATTTTTTTTTTTGATAAGTAATGAAAATTCTATTAATAGCAAAATGGAGTTATAGTAACATCTGTCAAACAGAGGTGCGGGGTGCAGCCCCCATTACAAAAGTGGAATTACATTTGAGCCACAAATAATTCAGACTTATGCACCCCCTATTTTGCAAAAGAAACTAGTTAACCCATTTTCTGACCTCTTTTCCCATTAAACAAAAATTGTCATATCTCTAATTAGCCATTTAAATCTTTTCATAAGATCCCTATATTTCCAAACCACTTTTTAGTACCAGCTTTGGATCACCCTCAATTAGCAATCTGTCAAAGTTTAATTCTCTAGCAATTTGTACTCCTTGTAAGGCTTCTTTGAATTTGGCACACACCGAATCCCCATCTCCAACGGGGCCTGAGAAAAACAGCAAGAATGTGCCCGTCAGAATTTCTAAAAACTCCTCCAATCCAGCCAGCCCTGGATTTCCAAGGCAGCTGCCATCAAAGTTTAGTTTAATAAAACCTTCTCCAGGGGGAGTCCAGTGTGCACTTGGTTTATCCTTCCTAACAGAACTTCCAACTAATTTCACTAAGATGCTTAAAAAATATAGCAAACTGTGTATATCAGATAAGAGAAAATTAAGACTCTCTTTTTCTCTCTTTTAGTCTCTGAGCCATCTTCACTTGTTTATGTATGCCGTTAACTTACCATCTTGACTTTTTTTGCCTCTTTTTTACTATATGTTTTGATATAGAGTGAGTCTTTTTTTATATAGTTGTGTCTTTTCCTCTTTTTCTTTTGAACTATAGTAACTAGTAAGTGAATCATAATAGAATGGTAAACCAATTATCCAATCACCAAATGCCCATTTATTCTTTTAGGAAAATATTTTCAAAATGTTTCGATGATTTAATGAAATATGAGAAAGTTTAGATGATATTTTAAAATTTTAAATTTCAAATATATAGTTTATCAATGAAATTTGAAATATCACTGATATACCAGAGATTTTAGAAAAGAAAAATATTATTGGAATATTTTGTATTGCCCCTATTGAAATGGGGGCAATACAAACCATGGTAATGATTTCTTTTGGCATAGAGAAGTGATCCTCTTGGTTCAAGGCCTTATGGGATGGGGAACTATCCCTCTTGGTTCAAGACTAAGAAGTCTGGGGGACTTTTGTATGCTTTTTTGGCCGTGTTTGGTTGCAATGCGAATTTATTTGCACTGATGCAAAACTATGGTAGTGCAAGTGATTTTGGTGCTAATTATGATTTGTTTTTAGTTCAAAATTTACCTTATTTTGTTTGATTGCAATACAAATGAAGTAAAATAAGACCTGAAGCAGAATTAAGTAAAACTCAAAACAAAATTAAACCAGAATTTGCATTCTTTTCATTTGCACTCCCATGCATTTGTACTAATGCAAATAAAATTGCACTGCAACCAAACACAGCTTAGGAACAAAATAGAACATTTGGAGTTGAAACAGGAATTATACCACTATTTCTTGATGCCATTTGATAGTTCTTGAAGGAATTACTCTAACCTTGTTGGGATTTCATTCTATTTTCTTGAAAAATCTACCCTTGAACTATGAACCTTGATTATGGAGTTACTCCAACTCAGGTTTATGGTTTGTGATTTATTAGTTTCTTTATCTATTGTGCTACCAAGATAAGGCTATAATGGTTTTTGGAAGCTGTTTTATTTATTTACTTTTTGCTAGGGGTAAAATATGTCTGATGTTTTTTTTTTAATAATTATTTAGATTTAGATATGACCTGGGGTATGTTATTTCTTAATGATGTCTCTTTTTGAACAACTAGCAATTTACTTTTAATGAGAAGGTAAAACTCTAAAACTCTAAATCTGCTAAATTTGTGAAACCAAAGGGAACTGAGTAAGAAGCCGTTTTGTAGAAAGTAGTTTCCAACTCACCCGTCATGTAGTGAAACCCTGTCTATATATGATAATTTTATGTTTGTTTGTCTACATGTCACTTGTCTTCTAACTTTCTATTTTTGACTCCTTCCTGTTTCAAAATTCTTAATGGACATGATTCTTCATATGTTTCAAGAATTAATCTTGTGCTTAGTTTTTGCTAATATTTATTTCTAAATTTGATTTTGACAGCTGGGTTTTATATTTGTTGGGGATGCTTAGTATGGGTTCCATCTGTGTATACTTCTCCTGGGATGTACTTAGTTAACCATCCTGTAAATCTTGGTGTTCAGGTAATTGATGATTCCAAAATGGATACTCATTTTTGTTTGATTGTATGAACTTCAATGTTTTCTTCTTTCCCTGATTTAATTTGATAAGTTTTTGTTACTTTTGATTTTTTTTTGGATTATTTTACTCATTGCTGGATGATCTTTAAAAAATCAGAATCCTATTTTCAAATGGGGTATGGATCCTATTCCTCTACACCACATCTTGTTGACCAAAATGTTTCAAAATCAGTGATCTGATCATAAGCACTTCAGGCTATAGAGCTTTCTTATGGGTTTAGTTCTTATCTCCCTTCATCTGTGTATACTTCTCCTGGGATGTACTTAGTTAACCATCCTGTAAATCTTGGTGTTCAGGTAATTGATGATTCCAAAATGGATACTCATTTTTGTTTGATTGTATGAACTTCAATGTTTTCTTCTTTCCCTGATTTAATTTGATAAGTTTTTGTTACTTTTGATTTTTTTTTGGATTATTTTACTCATTGCTGGATGATCTTTAAAAAATCAGAATCCTATTTTCAAATGGGGTATGGATCCTATTCCTCTACACCACATCTTGTTGACCAAAATGTTTCAAAATCAGTGATCTGATCATAAGCACTTCAGGCTATAGAGCTTTCTTATGGGTTTAGTTCTTATCTCCCTTCATCTAAGAGAATATGATATATTATCTAGTAGATTTTCTTTTGTTTTTTTTTTGAGCAAGTGAAAAGTATTGAATTGCATTATATAGTTGCAAGGTTTAAAATTTCGATACGATACGCCCGATACGGGGTGTATTGTATCGTATCTTTGAAAAACAGATACGGGATATGCATGGACCCGTATCTGACCGTATCCGGGGCGTATTGGGGGTATATCGGGGTGTATCGACGAAAAAGATACGGCTAAAAACTGAAAAAAAAATAAAGGGGAAAAGCAAGGTTCTTTTCCCTGAAATAAGCCTTCTTTCACCCCCAAATGACTCTAAAACTCCAAACCTCATTCCTAGAGTGCTAGTTTCAAATTTTGAAAAACATGGCAAAAATAGGTAAGTTTTTTCAAATTTTTTTAGTATCTTGTGATTTCTTTTTTTCTTTAATGTTTAAATTTATGCTCTACATTTCTTACATTCAAAATCATAATTTTTTTTTGTGTTATTAATAAATTTATGGAAATTTCATGAAGATATTTGGGGAAAATATAAATTAATAAAAAATTTGAAAATGTAATTTTTCTCTGCCTATAAATACTAAATATGTTTTAGATCTATGGATTTATCTATCATATCCATAGAGCAATTGAAATTTCTTCTTTAGTATTTTTTTGATTTTTTATTTTTAGAATTAAAAAATAAATAATAATTAATTATATTTTTTCATTTGATCACAACAATGGAATATATTATAATTCTATGGGCGATCTATCATATCCACAGACCAATTGAAATTTCTTATTTAATAATTATTTTTTTATTTTTAGAATTAAAAAATAAATAAATAAATAATTATATTTTATCATTTGACCACAATGACTGAATATATTATAATTCTATGGATGATCTATTATATCCACAAAGCAATTGAAATTTTTTCTTTAATAACTATTTTTTGAATATATTATATAATGTTTATTTATTTTTTATAATTTTTGGAAATAAATAATAAATAATTATTAATTCTATTTTCAGTTAGAAGTTGTGCCAATGCATGTTTTATGGTTGGATAGGAGAGTTGGGTTTTTCTCATCCCATAAAACATTAAAACTTAAGAATTATAATTTATAAATTATAGTTAAGCATAGGATTTTTAATGAAATTATAATTAACTACAATATATTTCTTCATAAAACCATTAAAATATATTAATTTATTGTATATACACCTCATTGAGGCCTTATATTTAGTGTTTCTGATGTATTTTTATGATTTATTAAATTTTTTATAATGTTTCCAAGTGTATCTATGCGTATCTTTGTTTTTCTCCGATATGCATGCATATCCAAGGCGTATCCCAATACGTTTTTTAAAATTGCCTTTCCGATACTTTGGGCCTTGTATAGTTGTAAATAGGAGTGCAACTTGGCCAGGTAGGATACCTGAGGCTATGGTGAGGGTGACCAGCACACCTTTTAAATCAAAGTATCAAACATAAGCTCATACAGCACAAAGTTTAATCAGAGTTGATCATCCTGAACCAACCTAAATTTGAGTGAATTATCAGTTTTCAGAGTTGATCATCCTGAACCAACCTAAAAGAACTTGATTATCTTCAAACCACAATCTCTTCAACTCAATACAGATGGTTCTAATACTGCAACAAATCTTCTATTACACAGTAATATCAAGAAGAACCATAGAAATCCAAGGTCAAAGTAGAGAAACAATAAACTGAATCTTAGCAAGAAGAAATGATTTGGTTCAGCCAAACCATAATTGACTTTCTCTGGAATAACCAAATCATTTCTTCTTGCTAAGATAAAAACACTTATCTCTCCCCTTAACCAATACCCCTATTTTACAATTGTGACCAGAATAGTACTTCTCTTCCCACCCCTTGCTTGGCTAAAGTATCTGCAAAAGAATTAGCACTGCGCTTACACCAGCAGAAGGAAACTTCTATGTCTCTTGTTAACCATCTTAATTTTTCCTTCTCATTATTGTAAATCCACATCTTCATTTCCTCACTTAGAAGCCAATTTACAACCAACTATGAGTCCCAACACTTCTGCTCCCAACACTTCTGCTCTTTGCACTCCTTCCATCTTCATTTCCTCATTTCCTCATTATCATTTCCTCATTATTGTAAATCCACATCTTCATTTCCACTGTTAACTTCCTAATGTTCAAAGACCTTGCCCTTTGCACTCCTTCCATAACTCCCAACACTTCTGCTCTGAGAGAATCTCCTTCCATCATTTAAGATAATTCATAAATGATATGGTTATTCTAGATAAGATTGACCAAAAATGACTTCTTACATCCATAGATATAGACTTTCAATCTAGACTTCTTACATCCATTAGATATAGACTTTCAATCTAGACTTCTTACATCCATAGAGGAAGCAAGAAGGCTAGAATCATCTGGAGCTGCATTCCCTTTGCAGTGTGCTGGACAATATGGAATGAAAGGAATAAAAGGCTGCTTGAGAACAAGTCGAAGAGCCTTGAGGTAATATTATCTTTGGTTGGAAAGTTTGTAACAGTCTGGGTTTTGGGTCTTCCAGAATTTGTGCAAGTTAACAGAACAGATCTGGTGGAAAGTTTTTGGGATGTCATTGAACTTCAAGCTTGTACTGTGAATCTTTTTCAAGTGGATTAGTTCTATTGGTGTGTCATCTTGACACCCATCTAGATTGTAATGCTTTTTCTTTTTAATGAAATTTTTATACTTTACTGTTCCAAAAAAAAATATAGTTGCTTTTGTGTTTCCTAGGTCTAGATACATTTTTTAGTTGCCAAGCATGAAGCAGGAAACACCATAGCATTTGCTCTAATGCTTGGTTGTTGAGTATACTTTCCAATGGGACTCGTTTATCAATTCGATTACATCTAAAAAATCACTTTCTAGACTTGATCTTTGACTAAACAAAGTAGAAAGTTTCCGAGGGACCTATAACTTCAATTCTGCTTGACAAAGACTAAAATACCCCTGATTGAAATTATCATTTTACTACAGATCGGCATAATTAGGATTTGGTAGTATATTGCATTCTCTTCAGCTAAAGATATTCCTCTGCCATAGCACCGCCCATCCCACCCTAATTATGAACACTACCAATATAAGCCTTTTGTTTAGAAGAGGTAAAGTATCATTTCATTAACAAAAAAACCTTTGTATAACTAGGGGTTGTACATTGGGGATGAACAATAAGAAAAGAAAAAACAAAAGATTTAGACCACTATCCCATCCCTGTTTACACTATCAGTATGAACTTTGATGGGTGCAGTTTCGGGAATCAGGCCCTTTGTGTGTAGGAGTTTTTAGGAATTGGGAAGGCAATATTTTGCACTCTATTGGTAATTGGCATTGGAAACTCTACTTTGGTGGAAGTGGAACTGTGGGCAGTTTTAGGACAAAGGATGACAAAGTCCTTAAATTTCAGGGGCATATAGATAGGAGACTGAGATGTAGTCATTGGCTAGACTAGAAACAATGATGCAGGATTATGGAATCTTAGAAACACTTTAAGGGAGATCAATAAAATGGCATTGGAGATGGACACCAACTACAAGTGAACACTTTGTTCAGTGAATATTCTCACTGGACTGGCAAGATCATAGATAAAAATAAGGTGTATTAGGGATTAATTTCCCAATGGGGGGGGGGTTGTAAATTCTTAGTGACGGCAAGATGCTCACAGGGGATATGTTTGTAAAATTTTAACTATTACTGACAAAAAAAAAACAAATTACTAGGGTGCCCATTGAGGGTTGCTTGCTTAATTGCCAAACTAAATTGTAAATGGCACTATTAAATACTTTTATATTCTTAGTTCTTAATTTTTCTTTGAGATTATAAAAATAAAATAGACATTATTAAACTAAAATTTTCATTTTGTGGGTTTAAATACTAGTTTCTTTTTATTATTTTCTTATGTGATACTGTATTGAACCCTCAAAGACTTCAAAACCTGAACCAATAAGGAAGGAGAAACTTAAATGTTGTCTGATCAAAACAATTTTCTTCTTCTTTATACTTTTTTTTTATGAAAATTTAAGGGTAGTTCCCTATTGAACCTAAGGAACTACCCTAGAATTCATGGTTTTTATTTGAAAAAAAATCCTTTTCCTAGGTGACTAGGCAACAAGGGGCCTCATTGCCTAGCTTTGCCTTGGTGCCTGGAAAACTACAGATTGTGTTGATATGCAATTTTCATTTTTCTTGATTTCTCCTTGCTGGGCCTTGAACTATGCTGTTGTTAACAAGTAGTAAGATGGCTTTTCAAGTACACTCAATGAAAAATGTGATTTCCTTAGTTGTTACAATTAAAATGGCCATTGGCAATGTTTTTGCACAAGGTGGCTGCTCTCATACTTGAACCCACATTTTTACACTTGTCAGCCTGGGATTATATCACTACACCAAGCAATGGCCCCTTCCTCAGTTGTTTCAATTGTGTCTTATTTGTTGTAGTAATATTTTCTACTTTCTTACTGTTTCTTTGGTTTTTCCAGCTTGCTATATATATTTTTCTTGCGGGTATTGTATGCATATATGTCAACTATGACTGTGACCGTCAGAGACAAGAATTCCGAAGAACAAATGGGAAATCTTTGGTTTGGGGGAAGGCTCCATCAAAGGTTTTTGTTCTATCTCTCATTCCATTTCCATTTTATGTACCCATTTTTCTGCATTTTAATGGTATTTCCTGAGAAAATAATATATTTTTCTACAATGTAGTGCTCAGAAGAAGGTTAATGCAATTCAATTCTTTTGCAGATAGAGGCCTTTTATCATACCACAAGTGGTGAAAAGAAATCCAGCCTTCTTCTCACTTCAGGATGGTTAGTTTTTAAATATGGTTGTATTACTGAACTTAATATCTGGGAAAGTAATAAATCAAAATATGGAAAGTAACACAGTGCAGGGCAAGGTTCAAAATTTCAATACGGCGTCCTGTATCAGGCGTGTCGGCAAGCCCCAATATTCTAAATCAAGGGCTGTTGGGGTTTTAACACTTTCAGTGGTTAGACAGGCCTAAGACTGACCCACTTGACCAATTTTGAAAAAAAAAACTAAATAAAAGTTTGTGTGTATCGATACTTCGAACCTTGCTGCAGGGGCATGGGTTAAAGCAAGAATTTCCTCTTAGGAGGCAATTGGAAGTCAAAATAAAGGAATGAAAATGAGGTGCCAAGGGAGGAATTTCCTCTTGGGGGGAAGAAAAGAAAGGAAAATTATGAGGGGAGAAAGGAGTGTGGAAGGAGGAAAGGGAGGAAGTGGGTGGTAGTGATGTCAGGTTTACAGAGGCCTGCAATCCAGGGGAGAAGGATAAAGGAGAGAGTGGCAGTATTGATGTTGGTGATAATCTGCTCAGAATTGATGTCCAAGTTGGCAAACTTGGAGTGGACCTAGGTTGGAAGAGATTGGTGAACAAGGACGGGGATGAAAGGGGGTTGGTGTTGGTGAAAAAGGGCAAAGAATCAGGCAAGTTCCAAATTGTTCATGTTTCAAAAATATTTTCAAGACTAAAAGACGGTTTGATTGGCGCTGGTCCTACAAACAAGTTTAAGAGAATTTACAGGAAGCGTGGGCCTAGACTCAGAGGGTCAAAGAAGAAGTTGAAATGACTAAGTTGGAGGTGTCTGAAAAGGAGTTTGGGGGGAATCAAGAAAGCAAGATGATTCTTGATGTTTCTCTGAATTGCGAAGTGGATGAGAACGATAAGAGATTGGAAATTGAAAATTTGGCAGAAAGGGATGTGACGATTGGAAAGACTTTAGGCTTGTTTTTCTTAGGAGAAGAAGAGTTTGCTAGAAGGTGGAGAGGCGTGGTATGAAGATCGGGATGGGCAAGGTCAAGATTTTGAATTCAACGATTAAATTCGTACTGGTTAGGGGGGTTCTTTCTTTCTTTTTTTTTTTGAGTTGTAATGTCTGATTTGCTCTGGTGTTTGTGTGGTTAGGTGTTATCTTAAAACCTATTTTGTTGCTCGTAAGCTGTTTTTTCTTGAATTTTTGATCTTCAAAATGAAAAAGAAATACCAACTAAAAAATAAATCATAAATTAAATTCCAGGGTCAAATAGTATTTCAAAATGCTTTAAGACAGAAAAACAGTTGTTGAATAAGAAAAATAATTTACTGCTAAATGATAAGGGTTGACCAGTGCAAAAGTACAAATAGAGAAGAAAGTGAAGAGGATGTAGAACGAGAGCTAGTTCTACAAAACTGATGATGTTAATTATAATTAAATCTAGAACTGGGGGATGGGGGGCATGTAGTTTCTGTTTTTTCTTTTTGCCCTTTCCACTTTTAAAAATGAACCAATGTCTTCATTCATTGTTCCTTCTAATTCTATTTCTGGGGTTGGCTGGAACTTGGGCCTGTGAAGAGATATCAGGGACACAGAGCTTGATGGTATCTCATCACTGTTATCCATTGTTGAAGGGGTGTTCCTAGAGCCAACAAAGGCAGATAGTAGAATTTGGACTCTCACCCCCTCTGGTTCTTTCACTTGTGCCTCTTTCTTTAGTGCTCCCACACATTCTTCTTCTTCTGGCTTGTCTTTCCCTGTTAAAGAGGTGTGGTGTCATCCTATACCTCCTAAGGTTGGGAGTTTCTGTTGGGAAGCCTTTCTRGAAAGAGTTAACRCARYARATTTACTTCAAAGAAAAAGACCCAATAGTTGTTTTTGTCCTCACTGGTGTGTCATCTGTAAAGCTGATGGTGAGTCTGGATATCACTTACTAATCTCCTAT